GTACTTGATGATCTAGGTGAACTGTTACATGTTACAACATAGTACTTGATGATTTAGGTGAACTGTTACATGTTACGGCTTACAACATGGTACTTGATGATCTAGGCGAACTGTTACATGTTACAACATAGTACTTGATGATTTAGGTAAACTGTTACATGTTACGGCTTACAACATAGTACTTGGATGATCTAGGTAAACTGTTACATGTTACGGCTTACAACACAGTACTTGATAACCTAGGTGAATGACTTGTTAATACTTTCCTGAGAATACTTGTGCTTTAAAATCTGATCACGTTTAATAACAGTCTGATACAAGTTTATTAGTCAAATTACTATTTTTGTAATATTTTAAAAAAAGTATGGTAATAACTGTAAATTGAATGTATAATATGTTAATGTGTAGAAATAAGTTGATTTAAAAATTTGTGTTAGAAACTATAATTTAATTTGTTGATAAAGAAAAGAAAGAATTTTATTTTTATGTTTCAAATGTTCACATAATCAAGTGATTACTTGTCTGTTATGATGATAATGTGTAGTAAGGTTCTGTTAAGCCATTGTATGGGATAAGTGTGCAGTTGTAAATTTAAGCTTGTTTTTGAAATGTTAATATGTAGATTTTTACAAGTTTTAAGGGAAGTTTGAAAGATAAACATGTTTTATTTCTCAAGTTATAATGCTTGCTACTTCTCTAGAGACATAAATTTTTTATATTTTATTGTTCAGATAACATGGTTGTTATTTTTTGTGAGACTTTGTTTTAAAAGTTACAAGAACTTTTCTGTGCACAGATTCAAAGGCAAAAGGGCATATCCCAGTGTTCCAAACCAGCCGAGCGAAGCGTCAGCACATTTTATGTTTGAACTGGCTAAGACTGTGCTTACAAAGGCTGGAGGAAACAGCAGTACAGCTGTCCTGTTTACACAGCCGTCTGTGGGTCAGAATCACAGAGGTCCACACCGTGCGCTTCATATGTGTGCTTTCCAGATTGGCCTCTATGCTCTCAAACTGCATAACGCTGTCTCTCCTAACTGGCTGTCTCGTACCTACTCTTCACATGTGTCATGGATCACTGGTAAATTTTAATGTTTGTGTGTTTTGAATATTAATGTACTTTTCTCAGTGCTTGTTTAATTTTAAAATGGATATTACATATCATTACTTATATGTATCCTTACGTTTAGCTGGTTGCTAAATATGTGATGATATAAGAAATTCCTTCTGTCTAGCATTGTTAAACAGAGATTTATAACACTGTATTTGGAAGAAAGTTCATTTTTCTCTTATCATTTCTTCATTTTTGTTTGTCTGTTTTTATGCTCATTGGTGTTATTCACTTTATCTTTAAAATTAATGTTTTATTGGCAACCCGCATTGTTTAAGATCTACGCAGTCAAGTAGGACAATTAACCTGGTTGATGTGTTATGTGTTTTCTAAACATGATCCAGAAATGTTTAGGATCTACCTCAGTCAAGTAGTGTAGTTAACCCTAACCTGATTTACATGTGCAGAACTGTTTATGATTTAATTTATTCAAATAGGACAATTAACCTGGTTGAGGTGTTATGTGTTTTCTAAACATGATCCAGAAATGTTTAGGATCTACCTCAGTCAAGTAGTGTAGTTAACCCTAACCTGATTTATAGGGGCAGAACTGTTTATGATCTAATTTATTCAAATAGGACAATTAACCTGGTTGATGTGTTATGTGTTTTCTAAACATCATCCAGAAATGTTTAGGATCTACCTCAGTCAAGTAGTGTAGTTAACCCTAACCTGGTTAACATGTGCTGTGTGTTTTCACCATAATGATTAGGCTACAACTTGTCTAACTGTTATGATTTTTTCAATAGAAAAATGTATGGGGTTTTTAAGTCCTTTTTAATTCACTATATAGTAACCTAAATTAATTTATGTGTGTGACTAATATTATGGCAATATGCCTAATTTATGTGTGAATAATATTATGGCATTATGCCTAATTTATGTGTGAATAATATTATGGCATTATGCCTAATTTATGTGTGAATAATATTATTGCAATAAATAATATCAAGTGGGAGGTGACATATTTCTGTGTAAGTAAGTATCATACTGAGCCAGTGAACGATGACATAATGATTGTGTAATATATTTGTAGGATTACTTATTTGAGACTGATTATACGCACGTTTTCTTATTTGAGACTGATTATACTCTACAGTTTTATATGTGAATGTATTCTAAATCTGTGAATGTGTATATATATACACATATTCAGTAAAAAAAAATTCTGAATATTTCAACACTTGTTAGATTTTATTTGACTGTCACCTTTTTCTAAATGTTTGTGTTGTTTCCTCTCTCTCTATGTGTGAACAAGGTCTTTCTCAGGAGTGTTTGTTGGACATAACTCGATGTCAACTTCCCTTATTGTTTGTGTTGTTTCCTCTGTGTGTGTGTGTGTGTGTGAGAAAGGTCTTTCTCAGGAGTGTTTGTTGGATGTAACTCGATGCCAACTTATTGTTTGTGTTGTTTCCTCTGTGTGTGTGTGTGTGTGTGTGAGAAAGGTCTTTCTCAGGAGTGTTTGTTGGATGTAACTCGATGCCAACTTCCCTTATTGTTTGTGTTGTTTCCTCTGTGTGTGTGAGAAAGGTCTTTCTCAGGAGTGTTTTTTAGACGTAACTCGATGTCAACTTCCCTTATTGTTTGTGTTGTTTCCTCTGTGTGTGTGTGTGTGTGTGAGAAAGGTCTTTCTCAGGAGTATTTTTTAGACGTAACTCAATGTCAACTTCCCTTATTGTTTGTGTTGTTTCCTCTGTGTGTGTGTGTGAGAAAGGTCTTTCTCAGGAGTGTTTTTTAGACGTAACTCGATTCCAACTTCCCTTATTGTTTGTGTTGTTTCCTCTCATGCACACATACACACACAATATAAGGTGTTTCTTAGGAGTAAAAATGTTACATTTTTAACTCAACAGTATTAGTTGAAAACTACCAGAGCCAAGTAATCTTTTATAGACAGATTATTTAAGCTGTTTGTTACATTTGTAACAGTATTTTCTTTATATTTTAAGTAAAAGATATGGGAAAATAAACTAAATTCATTCTAAATATCCATTGTATTAGGGCAAGCTATGGAGATTGGCAGTGCAGCTGTCAAAGATATTCTTATTGACTCATGGGAAGGTCACTTGACCCCTCCTGAAGTAGCCACTCTTGCTGATCGGGCATCTAGGGTGAGAGATTCGGCAATGGTCAGGGCTGCGGCAGATTTGGCTCTCTCTTGCCTTCCTCATGCTCATGCTCTTAATCCAAATGAGATTCAACGTGCTCTCATTCAGTGTAAGGAACAGCACAGCGTAATGTTGGAACGAGCGTGTCTTGCTGTCGAGTCTGCAGCCAAGGGAGGAGGAGTGTATCCCGAAGTATTGTTTGATGTTGCCCATAGATGGTAAATATCAATGTCACACTTCAAAGTTGGCTTTATCAGCAAAATGAAATAAATCATTTAAAACAACAGTTGTCTCTTATTGTACCAAAAGGAAATTGTTGACATTTAGAAAAATGTATATCAGAGTACCTTCCTTTCCAGGTGTGGTGTGGATTTGGAAGGTCAAGGTCATATACATCCACTTACTACTTTTAACATACAAATTTTAAATTTCAATTACTTATAATTGTTATTGTCTCTCAACTTTTTGAACTTAAGTTACTGTTCAAGAATGGAAACGTACATAGTGACAAGATTTTTACATGTAGGTTCATAGGATTGTTCCCATAAAAAGATTGTACAAGTTTATTGGGGATGTTTTTATTGTTTAAATGTATTTATTCCTTCACAAAGAAAGATTGATGAGATATTCTTTTGATCAGGTATGATATGTATGAAGAAACATTACAAGGCCAGCAAGTCCATAGCTCAGAATCTTATGTACGTCCTGAAATGCATTTAGGAAATTCTAACACGGAACATTACGGAACTCCAGTGGCCTCAGCTGCTGATCCTTTAGCGATGATGGCCACCTGTCATGTTGAAGGGTTGGTCACAACCACTCCTACAGTTCAAGTGTTTCCTCAACCACTTTCTTATCCTCTTCCCTATCCTGCACCTCCGTATGGATATCTTCAAGGAGTTCCCGCACCATTTCATCATGGTCATGTACCCATCCACCCTGCTTATCTACCCCCTCCACCCACTTACGCCTATCCAGCATTGGCAAGTGCCTCGTACTATCCGTCAACCTACACATCCACGGTGACGGGGTCGGTTCACTATCGGCATAACTCGCCAGCACTTTATACGGGACAGTTGTTAGGTGTGCCGGTGACTCAGACTGCCATGGCCCAATCACGATCAATCCTGCCAGTGAATCCCAGTCCCCCTCCTTCAGTACCTCCACCTCATCAACCTCAGGTAAGCTGTTGTGAAAGTCCTGGGTTTACGTGGTTGTATGGCAAATGTTGCATTCTAATAAGTCATTTTACCGTTACAAATACAGTATTGAATGTTTCCGTTTACTGTGTATACGATAAGATATTTAAAAAAAAACACTATTTAAATAACATTTTCTGACACCAGCCACTTGTTTGATTTAACAAGTGGTTAGGTAAGTGAATGGGATGACATGTTTCTGTTCTATGTTAAACATTAATGTGTGAAAACAGGTTTTACTCTAGGCACAGAAGTCATCTATATGTAGCATAATTACATGGTTCATGTTTTGTTAAATGTTAAACAGATTACACATTTATCCATCTAACTGTCATACCATTTGAAACTAAATAAAAAAAATAAATGATGAAGCCTTAATATAATTTCCAGGATGTTTTAAATCGTGTACATCATCAGAAAGAATTTATTTAAGTTTTCAAAAGTCACACATAGCTTCATTCACAAAAACGTTCTTTTACAAGTCGTTGACAAAAGTTTAAGACAGTTTTGATCCTCCATTTATAGTCCACGTGATGTTGAATCTGTAACCTGATATATATTTATCATTTTAATCGTAGGTTAATAACCCCATCTCGCAGCTAAACCAGCGACAACTGAACTACCTTTTAGCAGCATATCGTGTGGGGATGTTAGCCATGGAAACCTTGGCACGCAGAGTACACGATGACAGACCGCAGGCCAAGTATGCTCGTACCCCACCTTATGGTGAAGATGTCAAGTGGCTTCTCGGAGTTTCTAAGAAATTAGGTTAGTAAGAGTTATTGACCCACTTTTGGATAACACTTGTTGGTCAAATTACCTAGAAGTGTGTGAATCATATAGGCAAATGTATTCTTACTATTCTTGTAAGTACAGTGAAAGAAAGAAGTTTGTTTACAGTCTTTCTGTTTGTGTCAATATGTAAATACAGAAAGAGGTGGACGTGGGCATTGAATCTTGCAGAAGACCATTAGTAGTGTTACTGTTTGGGGCTATTGGGAAGTATCAATGTGTATATTATCTAATAAAAAAACTTGTTCTCAAAAGTAAACTATCCGTACAAGTAAGAACTAAAATAATTCAAAGTGTGTATTAAATAATGAAGACAGCTTATTAGAACAAACTGGCTAAAGATATAGTTAATATTATAATTAATACACCAGAAAACTAAACCCTATGATGATTAGGGTGTGTA